TTCCTTCCCCTGTACTTGTAGAACTGAAATCTTGTAACTGCCTCCTCTCCACGGGGAGGCGAACACGTGAGCCGAACAGACTCCCCGGTGAGGTACAGCTGGTGCGGGGGGCTCAGGGAGAGGGTGGGGGCTGCCGGGATGTCTGGAAAAGACAACGGGTGAGATTTCACTGCAGCAGAAGGGACTCAGAGCCAGGAGAAGGAGATGCTGGGGAGAAGGTTGTTACTGGCTGACAGTGGGGGGAGGGGATACCCATAGAGGAATCGTTGCTCCCTTGCAATCCCACTGTACCCCAATCTAGCATCACACCACACCCCAATATTACACTGCACCCCAACATAGAACCACGCTGCACCCCCGCATCTACCGCAACCCAATAGAAGAGGAAATTTCAGCCCTAGACACCTTCACACTGCACCCAGTACGGAATCGACCTGCATCCCGATGTACCCGTCAGGTTATTCACCCCATTTTCTCCATTCTGGGGGCAGAGGCAGAAGAGGGGGGAGAACCCGTCAGCCGACCATCAGACCTGCCTTGCCGTAACTAGAAAGTACTGCACAGAAATGAGGAAGCCAGGGTGGATGTGGGGAAGGGAGGGGGGAGTTTTTCCACCCACCGCGTTTCCTCTCACTGCTCCGCTGTATCTCACTGAGCCCCAACCCTGCACAGTGCCCACATGTTTCCCAGCAGGAGGCAGGGACACTCTGTGTGGGATCCGCTAGCTGGACTGGGTTGCCCAGTGCACAGCACGGCTACGGGATGGGTTGTCTCTGCCTCAGCTGTGAGCATCAGCCGGTCACTCCACTGGGACCAGGGACCTCTTCAGAGACCAAATCCCTGCTTTGAGAGAAGAATTTGTATCCTATGGTGCTTTCACCCCCGAATGCCGAGCACCTCAGGGTAGCACCTTCCCCTCTGATACACGAAGGCAGCAGAGGATCCTGGCGTATTGGTGCCAGCAGGGGGTCAGGGTAACGTGACAGGAACCAATCCCTGCCTGATAGAAATCATGACTGAGGAATCCAGGCAGCTGCAGGGATGAAGATTCACAGTGGATGGCCCCGACAGTGCCCAGTCAGGTCTCCAGTGGTGTGAGCTTCCCCCGAGCAGTGCCCACCTGGGACCCCAGTGCTGGAGCTACCCCACAGCAGTGCCGTCTCAGTGCCCATTCTTTGCTGATCAGGTGGGACCCCCGTGCCCACCACAGAGTGTCTGAGATGAAGGGAGTGGCCCAGACTAGAGGCAGCAAATAAAGCTGAGATGTTGGGTTGTGTCACTATATGGTAATTTTCTATTAATAGGGTGCATGCCTCGGTTTCCCCTATGTGCTGCACGGCTAACAAGTGGTGGGAAAAGATTGTTTCCTCTTTGCAGACACCCAGATATTGGGTGTGGATGATGGCTAGCAGCCTGGGGTATGGGGCCCCATGCCCATGAAGAGCCCCAAAAGACAATGGCCACTCCAATTTCCTGGACATTTCATGTGTAGCAGCTAATGAGCATGAATGGGTTCCCCTCTGCAGGAAGGCAGTGGGCTGTGACCAGCTGGAGAACAAAGGGTTAAGGAGACAGTTCAGGTGACAAGGTTTCCCAGTAACAAGAACAAAGGACTGAGGAACGGCCAGGTGGGGTTGCTTAGTGTGGGCTGCTGAAAGGAGAAGATGCTCAGGGACTGGGACTACAGAGGGGCCAGAGGACTCTGGACTCCGGACTGACCCAGATGGTCTTTGCTGTAACTTTCTGTTCTCTACGGTAACTAAGGACTTTCTACGCTGGTTCGGAAATAGCCAATAAACCTCCTCCTGTTACCGCACTCGCTGAGAGTCACTGCAGTTTAAGGAAGGTGGGGGCGCGTTGCTCCCTTTGGGTGTGCAAGTGTCTGTCTCAGGTGTGCAATGAGGTGGTGTCGCTGCAGGGAGCTCGAGGCGTGACCCAGGGGTGCTGAAGGCTCCAAGGTTCAGTGAGACTGTGACCCTACGGGGGCTGACACATGGAAGGGGCCCTCCCAGGCACGGCTCCAGAGCGGCTCTAGAGCACCGCACCTGAGGCTCTGTCACAGGGTGGGCGTCAGATCCCTAGAGACTCTCCCATGAACAGCAGGAAAATCAGGGGCTCACCTGTCACTGGGATGGAGATGGAGCTGCTGCTCTCAGATGAGATCTCTCGATTGGATTCCTGTCTCCAGTACGCACAGGTGTATGTCCCAGCACCTCGCTTCTCAGCTGTGAGCTCGAGCTGGGCGCCTTCATTCGGGGGTTGGACTGTGCTTGGGTCATGCTGCCCTTCTTGAGAGAAGAATCTGTATCCCGAAACCTGCTCAGACCTAGGGGCCTTGCACGTGAGGGTAACCCGCTCCCCTGGGAGATACACTGTGTACTCGGGGTCCCGAGAGAGTGTGGGGGCCGGCGGGGGATCTAGAACAGAGGCAGAGGGGTCAGTGCAGAGGGAGAGGCCACGATGGAATAAGGAGAAGGGAGAAAGGTGAAGAGATGAGTCCTGGAGAGCCAGCCTCATCCCACTGCGTAGCCCCCACCTCCCACACTGGTAAATACACCATGGCGAATGAACCACAACCCGTCTCTCTCTCTCCCTATGGGATCTTTTCATAGATCCCAAGGCCAGAAGGGACCATTGTGATCATGGAGTCCGACCTCCTGTGTCACCCAGGCCCTAGGACTTCCCTGAACTGATTCCTCTGTGACCTAGAGCAGATCTCTGAGAGAAACATTCAGGCTTGATTCAGAAATCGCCAGCGCTGCAGAATCCACCACGACCCCTGGGGAATTCTCCCAGGGGTTAATTCCCCTCACTGCTAAAATCTGTTCCTTATTTCTAGTCTGCATCTCTCTGGCTTCAGCTCCCAGCCTTTGGGTTGTGTTTGATCTTTGTCGGTTCAGTTGAAGAGCCGTCGATTATCAAATTTCTGTTCCCCAGATAGGAACCTTCTCGTTGTCATGCTAAACAGCTCCAGCTCCAATTCTAATTGGGAAACTGAGGCCGAGAGTTCATCAGGCACTTAAAAGACCTAGGCCTCCAAGAAATTTCAATGGGATTTTGGCACCAAACACCCTTCGTCTCATTGGAGATCCCCAAGGGAAGTGACTGGTCCAAGGTCAAGGGGAGAGTCTGTGGCAGGACTGGGAACTGGACCCTCTCCAAGTCCCAGCGCACTGTCAAATTGTCAAGGCATATCTGGCTCAGAGCTTCCTATAATGTCTGCCATTGTACTACCTAGCAGTATAAATTGGACCCAGACCCATTGAGACCCAGTTCAGTGTCCAAACCACACATCCAGTCTGCCACCGCTGGGGTTTCTCAGTTGCCGATTGCTGTGGTGTCTAGGTGGGTGACCAGCTCCCGGCTGCTCTAGGAAATAACCGTGGTGTAGATTTTGCCAGGGAGAAGTGGCTGAGGAGCGGAGATGGGGAGAGTGTTTGATGGTCCTTGTATAGCCACCAAGATCTCTATGTTCTCTCTCCAGATATAACTAGGCAGAGGTTGGAAAGCTGAGGCTGGGGGCCGGCAGGGAGTCTGGAGTAGAGGCAGGGGAGAGACCCCCAGAGAGTGAGGGTGTCGCGGGGTGGTCACCCCGCTCCATCCCTGAAGGGGTTAAAGCAGCCCTGGAGAGGGCTGTGGCTGGAAAAAGCCAGGCTGATTGGAGAAGCAGCCACAGCTGAGGCCACGCCCCAACCAGGTCACAGCTGGCCCTACAAGAGGGCTGAGGGCCAGAGGCTGTAAGAGAGACTCTCTCTCTAGAAGCTAGAGAGCGAAGGACCTGGCTGCTGGGAGCTGAGGAGGGTACCTAGGGTGGAGCAGTGCTGGGGAAGGCAGAGGGAGCTGGGGAGCTCCAGGCTAGCTAAGCCCAGGCTGAGTTAAGGGCCCACAACAAGGGCACTGGGGCTGCAGAGGGGCTGCCCAGGAATAGGCAGACGCAGCTGGTCCAACCCCCCTTGCCGATGATGAGTGGGTTACAGACGGCGTCTGCCCCAGGGAGCAGGGGCTAAATGGAGACTGGCAGTAGCCACTGAGGCAAGGTGGGGATAGGGGTTTGGGGGTTCCCCTGGGAGGGGAGTTCGTGGGTTGCTGGTAGGGGGCAGAACCCTGATGTAAAGGACACTGGGGTCTGGGAGGGACATGGGGTCCAGGGGCAGGTGAGACACTGGCCTGCAGAGGGTACTCCAGAGGCTGGAAGAGCTAATTCCCGAGATGACCTGCAAGAGGCACCACAGGGGTGAGTCTCTCTTCGCTACAGAGGGGAAGAGCAGGTGGGGGAACAAGGCCCCAACACAGGGCCTCAGCCTAGTCCCACCTCCCTCTCTCATGCCCCAGTGCCTGTGGCATACTTGATGGCAGATATACATGGGGGAGCTCTCCAGTAAACTTGTGGGAACAGCGCCCCCTCCCCAGTACCTGCTGGGCCCAGCACAGCCTGGCTAGATCCTCTCCCAGTATCTGAGCTCCAACCCCGACCCACCTGGACGGGAGCGGGGAGGGGGACAACTGTAAGGGGATCCCAGCAAGAAATGAGCCACCTCCAGTCCCCGCTGGACTCTGCCCTCCTGCCTGGTGGGTGCTGGAGTCTTAGCCAGTAATATGCTCACCCTAGGGAGTTGTAGGGCTGGGCTCTCACTACCCCACACTCTCCATGCTGGAGAAGTGGGGTGCAGAAAGTGCATTGGGGGGGGAGGGTTGCTGATGCAAATAGTTAAACCCCAAGACCCGCATTTCCATCAGGGTATTCACCCCATGTTCTCCATTCTGGGGGCAGAGGCAGAAGAGGGGGGAGAACCCATCAGCCGACCATCAGACCTGCCTAGCAGTAGCTAGAAAGTACTGCCCAGAAATGAGGAAGCCAGGGTGGATGTGGGGAAGGGAGGGGGGAGTTTACCCACCCACCGCGTTTCCTCTCACTGCTCCCCTGTATCTCACTGAGCCCCAACCCTGCACAGTGCCCACATGTTACCCAGCATGAGGCAGGGCCTCTCTGGGTGGGATCCACTGGCTGGACTGGGTTGCCCAGTGCACAGCAGGGGTAGGGGACAGGTTGTCTCTGTCTCAGCTGTGAGCATCAGCCGGTCACTCCACTGGGACCAGGGCCTCTTCGCAGACCAAATCCCTGCTCTGAGAGAAGAATTTGTATCCTATGGTGCTTTCACCCCCGAATGCCGAGCACCTCAGGGTAGCACCTTCCCCTCTGATACACAAAGGCAGGAGAGGATCCTGGCGTATTGGTGCCAGCAGGGGGTCAGGGTAACATGACAGGAACCAATCCCTCTCCTGATAGAAATCATGACTGAGGAATCCAGGCAGCTGCAGGGATGAAGATTCACAGTGGGTGGCCCCGACAGTGCCCAGCCAGGTCTCCAGAGCTGTGAGCTTCCCCCAAGCAGTGCCCACCTGGGACCCCAGTGCTGGAGCTACCCCACAGCAGTGCCGTCTCAGTGCCCATTCTTTGCTGATCAGGTGGGACCCCCGTGCCCACCACAGAGTGTCTGAGACGCAGGGAGTGGCCCTGACTAGAGGCAGGGAATAAAGCTGAGACGTTGGGTTGTGTCATCATGTGGCAATTTTCTATTAATAGGGTGTATGCCTCAGTTTCCCCTATGTCCTGCATGGCTAACGAGGTGGTGGGAAAAGATTGTTTAGGCTTTGCAGAGACCCAGATATTGGCTGTGGCTGATGGTTAGCAGCCTGGGGTATGGGGCCCCATGCCCATGAAGAGCCCCACAAGACAATGGTCACTCCAATTTCCTGGACATTTGTAGCAGCTAAGGAGCATGGATGGCTCCCCCTCTGCAGGAAGGCAGTGGGCTGTGTCCAGCTGGAGAACAAAGGGTTAAGGAGAAGAGTCAGGTGACAAGGTTTCTCCAGTAACAAGAACAAAGGACTGAGGAAGGGCCAGGTGGGGTTGCTAAGTGTGGGCTGCTGGAAGCAGAAGACAGTCAGGGACTGGGACTGCAGAGAGGCCAGAGGACTCTGGACTCCGGACTGACCCAGATGGACTTTGCTGTAACTTTCTGTTCTCGACGGTAACTAAGGACTTTCTACGCTGTTTCCGAAATAGCCAATAAACCTCCTGCTGTTACCGCACTCGCTGAGAGTCACTGCAGTTTAGGGAAGGTGGGGGCGCGTTGGTCCCTTTGGGTGTGCAAGTGTCTGTCTCAGGTGTGCAATGAGGTGGTGTCGCTGCGGGGAGCTTGAGGCGTGACCCAGGGGTGCTGAAGGCTCCAAGGTTCAGTCCTAGGAGATGCTGCAGCCAAATGGCCCCTAGTGAGACTGTGACCCTACGGGGGCTGACACATGGAAGGGGCCGTCCCAGGCACGGCTCCAGAGCGGCTCTAGAGCACCGCACCTGAAGCTCTGTCACAGGGTGGGCGTCAGATCCCTAGAGACTCTCCCATCAAACAGCAGGAAAAACAGGGGCTCACCTGTCACTGGGATGGAGACGGAGCTGCTGCTCTCAGATGAGATCTCTTGATTGGATTCCTGTCTCCAGTACGCACAGGTGTATGTCCCAACATTTCCCTTCTCAGCTGTGAGCTCGAGCCGGGCACCTTCATTCGGGGGTTGGACTGTGCTTGGGTCATGCTGCCCTTCTTGAGAGAAGAATCTGTATCCCGAAACCTGCTCAGACCTAGGAGCCTTGCACGTGAGGGTAACCCGCTCCCCTGGGAGATACACTGTGTACTCGGGGTCCCGAGAGAGTGTGGGAGCCGGCGGGTGATCTAGAACAGAGGCAGAGGGGTCAGTGCAGAGGGAGAGGCCACGATGGAATAAGGAGAAGGGAGAAAGGGGAAGAGATGAGTCCTGGAGAGCCAGCCTCATCCCACTGCGCAGCCCCCACCTCCCACACTGGTAAATACACCATGGCAAATGAACCACAACCCGTCTCTCTCTCTCTCTTTCTCCCCCTCCCTATGAAATCTTTTCATAGATCCCAAGACCAGAAGGGACCATTGTGATCATGGAGTCTGACTTCCTGTGTCACCTAGGACTTCCCTGAACTGATTCCTCTGTGACCTAGAGCAGATCTCTGAGAGAAACATTCAGGCTTGATTCAGAAATCAACAGTGCTGGAGAATCTACCTTGACCCTCGGGAACTGTCCCAGTGGTGAATCCCCTCACTGCTAAAATCTGTGCCTTATTGCCAGTCTGAATTTGTCTAGCTTGAGCTCCCAGCCTTTGGGTTGTGTTTGATCTTTGTCGGTTCAGTTGAAGAGCCGTCGATTATCAAATTTCTGTTCCCCAGATAGGAACCTTCTCGTTATGCTAAACAGCTCCAGCTCCTGGAGTCTCTCACTCTAAGGCAGGTTTTGCAACCGTTTAATCAGAATCCTAACCCTGCTCTGCCCCCGCTCCAATTTATCACCATCCTTGAATGGTGGAGACCAGAACTGGACGCAGGATTCCAACAGCGGTCGTCCCAGGGCCAAATCCAGGGGTAAGATGGCTCCTCTAACCCTGGCATCTTTGTATGCCATGGACATTCGTGCATGTGCCATCACCCCACCCCTGAGAGGGAAGAAGCAGGGGAGGAATAGGCAGACGTAGCTGGTCCAAACCCTCTTGCGGATGATGAGTGGGTAACAGACTGTGTCTGCCCCAGGGAGCGGGGGCTAAATGGAGACTGGCAGTAGCCACTGAGGCAAGGTGGGGATAGGGGTTTGGGGTTCCCCTGGGAGGGGACTTTGTGGGTTGCTGCTAGGGGGCCCTAATGTAAAGGACACTGGGGTCTGGGAGGGACATGGGGTCCAGTGGCAAGCGAGACACCGGCCTGCAGAACATTCTCCAGAGGCTGGAAGAGCCAAGTCCCGAGATGACCAGCAAGAGGCGCCGCAGGGGTGAGTCTCGCTTTGCCACAGAGGGGAAGAGCAGGTGGGGGATCAAGGCCCCAACTCAGGGCTTCAACCTAGTCCCACCTCCCTGTCTCGTGTCCCCTGACTGTGAAATAACCCACGGCAGATATACATGTCGGAGCTATCCAGTAAACCAGTGGGGACAGAGCCCCCTCCCCAGTACCTGCAGGGCCCAGCACAGCACGGCTGGATCCTTTCCAAGTGGCTGAGCCCTACATCCACCCCATCTGGATGGGAGATGAGCCGGGGACAGCTCCGATTGGATACCACCGGAATGAGCAGCCTCCGGTCCCTGCTGGACTTTCCCCTCCTTCCCGAGGGGTGTTGGAGTCTCAACCAGTAACATGCTCATGCGAGGGAGCTGTGGGGCTGGGTTCTCACTGCCAAACATTCTCCACACTGGGGGAGTGGGGTGCAGAGAGGGGGTTGAATGGGGCAGGGTTGTTGATGCAAATGGTTCAA